TTCTTCCACCATTAGTGGTCATAGTCAATAGTGTGCCTCTCATGACAAAGAGCATCTCATCAACCGGATCACCTTCACGTACCATGAAGCTTGTAGACTAACCTTAAATTTTAAAGTTCTAATCTAGGTTCATTCGATGCAATTTCACACTATTTCTTCTATCAATTGATATACCAATAAAATTTTAGATCCAATGTTTTTTTTTTTTACATTTTATGCCTATTGCATAAAATATAAAAAATAAAATAGAGTTCCATAATAAATAACATGTCAATATCACCTGAATTATTTTTTTTTAACAAGACCCATAAAAAATTACCAAAAAATAAAGTTACCTTTTTTGACAAAATTAAAAAAAAAAAAAAAATCAAATTTGTTGAATAAATCTCTCTTTCGATTGTACCAAAATAAATAAATAAATAAATACTATCAAATAAATTATTCCTTTTGACGGTCAAAACAGTTTTTAAAAAAAAAATAAAGTTTTATAAAGGGTAATTATAATATTATAAATTAAGAAATTATGCATTAATGAATTAAAGGACTTTCTTGTTATTTTCTTTAAAAGAAAACGATAAATGTAGTAAAATTGGAAAAAAGTGGAATGTGAATATGTCTCCCTATATATATATATATATACTAATATCATAAATATAACGAAAAATGTCATTAACAATATGTAATATGCAAAAAAACCTAATGCTTACTCGAAATCTGTACTATATCTAAGATGACATAATAAATTTAACTTCACAAGTGAAACAAAATAGAGAAATGATGTGATTAATTCTGGTAACACATTCAAAAAAAAACAATTGAGTAGCACATATGCATGAAAATATTTGTATATCTATATATTCTTTATGGAAAAAATAGTAAATTAAAGTAATATTATTTTCATTTATATGTATTCTTTGTGTAAAAATATGTAAACTAAAGTAATATTATGTTCATTTATGATAAAATTTAATTTTTATAATTATTTGAATATTATATAATCATAGAAATAATTTTTTTAGACCAAAATCATTAATAATGGTTTCATTATTTTTGAAAGATACCTGTAGAACCGAAGCAAACTAAACCGCAAAGTACCGGTTCTCACAGTTCAGTTGATCACCGCCACTCTCTTTCTATTGCTCTTATTGAACTCGAGCTTTAGCCTGTTCGTGAGGATGGCACGGCTCTACCTGGTCCATCCTTTAGCGATCATGGCGAGCATTTGGTCGGCTTCTGAAACTTAGCTTCTGGTTCTCTTATTGATGAACGAATCAACTTATGGATCTAAGATGAGTACATACATATGTGTGTGATGATCGAGGAGACAAAATGGGTAGGGAAAGGCAAACTTTGGTAAAAGAAAAAGAGACGAGACTTTGGCAAAAGAAAAAGAGAGAATGGTCGGTCACTGATGGGCTTTTTTTTTTTTATTAGAACATTTTTTTTACTCCAATGCAATATTGAAACAATAAGAGAGACCTTTGCACTCTATAGATAGATATATATGTTTTTAGTAAATTACACTCACGCCCTTAGATTATTTTTTTTTTTATAGCTAAATTAACATTTTGATTTTAAATTTCACTTATATTTAAATTACTGGCTTAATATTTCACTTACACCCAAAATGTCAATTTTTTTGTGAGGTCATAGTACTTTTAAGGTGTTAAATGACTATGTTACCATTTGAACTCCTGTTGACTATTTTGTGACCAAATTACCCTAACATACACCTTTCCTATTCTTCCTCCTGCGAAATTCGGCATTCCACAATCACCACCACCACTACACAGCCAGACAAAACCCAACTCCTTAAAATTACACACATATATATCATACACACTCACACACACACACACACACACACACATATAAAACAGTATTATGGCCTTGTGACAAAGTTATTACTGCATATATATATATATATATATATATATATATATATATATATAGGAGGTGGCAGTGGCCGGGTGAGCTTGGAACAGCGGCTGCGAATCACCGGCGACTATGGCCTCGGAGAAGAGGGAAGAACCCACCGGCAACGATGAGTTTAAAAGACAAAGGCCTCAGCGATGGACCGGCATCACTTCACGGCGTTGATGAGTTGCAAAGATGTAATATTTTTTAATTTCATCATTTTCCATTTTTTCAGAATTTTGTTGATGCGAAGGCACTTTTGTCTTTTCACGTTGTGCAAACTGGACACTGCGGAGTATGCCGATTGTGTCCGAAAGTTATTTGGAGCATTTCATTGAGTCCAGGACTCTTTGAAATGCAAGGGCGATCATTTTCGCGTTTTTCGTTTTACAGGCTGGAAGGTCCCGTGTGGAACTCGCTACCGAAATTGTTGTATGCTGGTATTTTAGTTGGGTTCAATTGCATCATATTTATTTTTATTTATTATGTTTGAGTGATTGTAAATTAAAGGTGTGTGCATATATGTATGTGGTGTAGAATTAAAAACAAAAAGAAAAAGGAAAAAAAAATGAGTGGGACCCACAAGTACTTAAAATGGTCATGAGACCACTTTTTGTTTTCAATTTTCTCTCATTTCCCGCAAGCTTCTTTCTCTCTATGTTCTAGAAACATTTTTTTTTTCTTTTTTTTTGGTTCCAATCTTCACATCTTGATTTATCCTTCCATATTTAGTGTTTTTAAGAGCCGTTTGTGGCTATTCGAAGCCCACGACGAGACCTATAAGTTGATAGGAGCAATTCCTTGGTTGGTGCACCATAGGAAATTCAAAATTTTAGGGTTTAAGGTGAAGAAAATTAGAAGTTTTCTCCTCCTTTGAGGTAGGGGTTCTAATTCACATGTTCTTAGGCCTTTTTTGTGAATTACTCTACTTAATTGATGATTAGCATGTTTAATTTGTAAAAATTTTTTTGCTTTATTATATATATTGTATCAAAGTTGTGACTATGTGTTACTTGATATATATGATAATGAAGCCTGTAAATTGTTGATTAATTCAAGCTTTTGTGCCTTTAGTTCTAGTTTGGTGATTGGAAAGTATGAAATATAATTTTAGAAATTTTTTTATATGTTGCAAAGCATGTTTAAGTACCAAATTTTCATGCCTATTATGATTAATTTGCTAGAATTTGCTATATGAAAGTATGTTGATTTATGAAATATGAAAATCTTTTGTTGATTTGTGAATTGTAAAAATCCTTCTTTTGACATGGCATTGAGAAGCATGAGATATTCATGCATATCATTGGGAAAGAATGGGAAAAATTGATTTGAAAGAAATGGATATGGATTTTTGGGAAAGAATTTTGAAAAGGATTTTGTGAAAAACCCGACCGCCTAGGAGTTGCCTAGCGACCGCGGCATTAGTGAGACCTAGAGGGGATTAGAGAAATCGCCCTAGTGTGGTTGAGTCACTTGGATCCCAAATGATGCCATGGAGTTGCCATGGGTCAAGGACAGTGGCCAATCCTCCTCTCGTGCCGCCATGGAGTTGCCATAGGACGGGTTCGCTAACGGTTTGAAAATGATGATGGGAATGGTTTTGGAAAAATGGGGAGTGACATTGCATGGCATATTCATTTGTGGTATTGGATTAATGATGTGGTATCGTAGTTATATTTTACTCCCGGCACGGTATAATCCCAATTTCCTTATTTCTATTCATGGTGTGGATTCACGAGGTCTCAAGATGTATGCTTTAGGCACTTCCTATTGAGCTTATGCTCACCCCTTCACTTTAACATTTTTCAGGAAACGAAAAAGAAGTGGCGGATGACGTTCCACCACAGGCTTAAATTGGATTAGAAGACCTTTTTGTTATTTTTGTATCTAAGTCCTATTATTTTTGTAAAACTTAGTATATAGTATTTTGTACTAAGACTTGTGAACTTTTGTTATTGTAGTTATATTCATGGACTTTAGATCTTAACCATATATTTTTGGGATTGTAATTATGATACTTGGATTAAATAGCATGTGGTTGTTCCACCATAAATTGAACTATGTTGAGATATAATGAATGTATGAAAGAAATGTATTATTTGCATTGTGTTGAGATAGGTTTAATAAATTTTGAAGGCCCAAGAGAGGTTATTGCATTTTTGCACAAAAGCAGATTGTTGTAGGATCCCTTCTTAGCAGGGGTTATGCCGAATTTTTTCTATAAATGGGATCAGTTTAGGGTCATTACAAAAGAACCCACTGACGATGTCTTGTTATGCATTCTTGGCTTTCAATTTGGGGTTTAGATTTGGTGGTCGTGGTGGTGATTGTCACCAACGATGTCTCCGACTGTGGTGGCAATGGCATGGGTGTGTTGGTGGTGGTGGTGGCGGCGGCATGGGTGTGTTGGTGGTTGTGGTGGTGGTTGTCACCGGCAATAGCAGTACAAATATATATATATACAGGGGCCTTTTATGTTATTTAAGAATAAAGATATTTGTATTAAAATTTTGAGGGTAAAAAAGTCAATTCGCATATATTTGAGGCCAAAAAGTAAATTGGGGTGTAAGTCAAAGGAGTGTCCGTGTAATTTGCCCTATATATTATAACAGGTGGTTCGGTCCACTAGAACTTTAATCAAGGCTGGTTCGGTCCTGTAGGACTTTAATCAAAGACTGACTTAAAAATTCACGGTTCCATTATTTTGGAACTCTAACCGGATCGGACCACTATAAAATTGGACCAAATCACCCAGTTTGATCCGGTTTGATTTTATGGGTTAACGAGTTTTTTGCACACCTCTGTAACTTCACAAGTAATTTTATTTAATTTTTTTCCCTTGCTAACGGGTTGAAATAGTGAGTTCTAAATTTTTAAAACCTCAAAATATGATTTATCCAGACATTATGTCAGAACATCCTCTCCCCACCGCGCGAAGCATTTTTTGCAGACAAATTCCATTTATTTAACATATATAAAGAAAATTAAAAAATGAGGTTTGGCCTAAAATAGAAAAAGAGAACTCTAAAGTTTCAGAGGACACACAGTATACAAGATACAAGATTTCTCATAGAGAAAAAAAATAAATAAATAAAACATTATATTACATAGAGGCAGGAACAAAATTACATATGATCTTTTTTATTTCCTGAATAATTACATATGATCTTATACACAGATATCTCGTGCATTTAAATAATGAACAAAATTACATGTGATCATAATAGACTAGTATATACCTCACTGGTTTTAGGTTTCTCCCTAAATAGTTGCTAGGGAAAAGAAGTACTTATCCTCCTAAAACCTCTTGCAACTGATATATATTACATAAACCTCTCCACGAATCACAAGAAAGACCACACCCCTTATTGATCATTTTCAGCAGTAAAGTCAGGCTCAGCTGGTTTCTGAATCAGTAAAGGTGGTAACCTGCCCGGTAATTTGGGACTTCGTGCACGCTTGTTCTGTAGGGCTCGTAGTGCATTGGCAGCAAACTTTGATGCATAAATGGTGGCACCAAGGCTTGGTGAGGTTCCAGCATCTCTTGCCAATGCATCCTGCAGCCTATCTTCTTCCTCGCGCAAAGACTTCTCCATCTTTCTCCTGCAATGCCGGCGCCATGCTACTTGTATAAAACAGGCTGCCCATGTCCTCCATTGCTGAGAGTGGAACCTGAAATTATGACGAGCACAATAGAAACATTATGACGTACTCCATTATAAGGTTACTAACAGTAGACATCATAGCATCGTTACATTATGAAGATCATACTTCAATTATCGTTCTAACCCATTTTACCAATCTTTTTTCTGTTTAGTTTATTTATTTTTAATCAAGTAGTCACAAAAGGGCAAAAAAATCATAGAAGCGTTCTACTTCATCTTTAGAGAACACTAAAGTGAAAAAAACTAGCACTTTCATGACAGACAGTAACTCATGTTGCCAACCATATATATGTGCGTGTGTGCACGAAACAAGATACTTTGTTCTAATACTTACTTAAAGGTGTGTTGGAGCTGCTTGCTGTGAAGCCGCCGGAACTGAGTGGCAACAAACTTTAGGTCATCAGCCATTAGAGCAAAACCTTCAACATCTGTCACTGCTTCAACTGTTCTGGTTGAGGTGGGGAGAGTTGAAGAAGAGTTGGGATCCACGGCCCACGTAAGAAGCTCTTCTCCACAGAAGTCACCAGCCTTGAGATCAACAGAGTTTAGAAAACCAGTTCTTCCGCCATTGGTGGTCCAAGTCTTAAGAGTCCCTCGCATGACAAAGAGCATCTCATCACCTGGATCTCCTTCACGAACTATGAAGCTCTTCTCTGTGTAAAGAACTGGCTTGAGACGATCGCACATTGCATCCAACAATTGTTGATCCATTTTTTCAAACATGGGCACCTGAAAAAATGTTGAGAAAAAACCTTACAGCTTGAACTCCTACAGAAAATTTAAAGGTTTCAAAAATAATTCCAAATGCAAGCAGAAACAAATTCATTGGCACACACTTAAATTCAACAAAAAGCAGAGAAAAATTAGAAATGCACTTACTCTTTTGAGCAGATCCCAGCAAAGATGACGTTTTATGTCCCTCCTAATGTCCTTAGGAAGGTTACAGATCACGGTCTCTTCGTCAGCACCTCTAGTTTCTTGCCATTTGTACTGTTCATACCGCCTGATCCGCTCCTTCAGTTTATCAGGAAGCATTCGATGAGACATCCACTGCTCTGCGTCTCGCCTTTTTACCCTCATCTCTTCTACTCTAACAGTTATAGACTGCAGATATTTCTGTGACAGCAAAAGAAACAAGGTTTTGCACTTCAGCTTACCAAATCCAGTTATGTTAAAACAGTGAGCAATATAAAAAAGGAAAGACCACAGATAATAATCATAATATAAACAGAATTGAGTAGAAGAGACAGAAAATCTCAGACCATTTTGATTGTATGGCATTTTGGTGGCACACTAAACCATTCAAAATATGAACCATTGATACATCAATTGAAATATAACATCCTAATATGGCTTCGACATATATGGATCACTCTTGGATGACTGCCAGAACATCCAAGGAATGCCTGTCATCAGATGTATTTATAAAATTCTTTATTTTTAGCCATGAGGATATCCAGAGTTGGACTGTCTGGATGATGGGCGCATTCACAATGTATACCACTTACTTAATGTGATATATTTTATGCTTGAATGCAACATCGAATTGAAAATGTATAAAATAAGAATGAAGTGCTTACCTGCATATTGCCAATGAGCAACGAAAATAAAACCAATCCAAGGATGGAAATGAAGACGGCAAAGAGAATCTCCCCAACAAAAGTGCTTGTTTTGAGGTTTTGTCCAAGAGAACTGTAGAAAGAACAAAAAACAAAAAATTGTTTAGCTCTAAACATAAAGTCATGAAGTCTTGGTATAAGTATGAACCTTTCAACACTAAATTCAGATAATTGTCATCATAGAAGAAGAATTATTTAAAAAATACGCACCAACCAGTAAACTTAAGCATTATCAGGGATCATACTGATCAGATTAGAGGGTGGGCTTTGGCGCATCAATAAGGTTGCTCCATTGTGACTTGGAAGTCATAAATTCGAAAAGGAAAACAACCTCTCCAAATGCGGAGGCAAGGTTGCACATATCTGACCCTCCTAGACCTCGCAGTAACAGAAACCTCTTGCCCTATGCTAACCCCTTTTTTAAAAAAGATTAATCAGATTGAAGGAAAAATTGCCACCAGAGTTGATTATGCAGTGTGGATTTTATATTTAAGACCAGTTACTATACAATTTTCTTGGACATTGCTAACAAATAGACTTCTTGTGAAAGCAAGCACTGTGTGCCTTCTTTAGATACATTGACAATCTCACTCCTTCAAGTTTGCGTAATATTTTTCCAGAAATCACTTCCAAATACTATACTTTATCTTCACTCTGCGTAACAAGATCCTTGAAATAAACAATCATTTTATGAAAAATTCTTTTCTTTTCTTTTTTTTCCAGCAAAATAAACTTTGCATTGCATAAAAACAGTACCAAAATGTTGTCACATGGTGGGACTGGTGTATACGATTCTTAACAAAAGGAAATTAAAGAATTAAAGAGAGTATGCATGTATGCCATTAAAAATCTTTATATTGGCAAATTAATAGAAGCCCAACTTCTTGAGGCTGGTTCATAGAGGGTTTAGTCACTCGGTCTCTGATGCAGAGCAAGTGGGAGAGGACTAGACTGACTTTCAATTAATAGGGGTAGCTGATGATGTGATCAGATTGGGTGATGATTGTTTATGGGTCTTCGGTCATTTATCTTAGTCTTAAATCTGTCTTTATTTCATGTTTAGGATATATTGTCATTTTGGTTTTAATTTTGATTTTATTTTATAAGTCATATGCCTTATAAGTGAGTCATGTGACCATTTAAGGGTTGTTTAGTCATTTTATTTTAGCTCTTTATTCTGTTGGACAGAATACTAGTCTTTAGATTACATTTATATGAAGGGCTAAAATTAAATCTTTGATAGGGCATCCCTTTGTCTTATAAAAGGGTTGTTCCAAGTTGTATTCAGCAGTTTTTCACGTATTATCAATATATCCGGTCGGCTACTACAACTTTTTACCTCTCCCTTTCTTTTGGGATCAAGTTGTAGGTGTTTAAGCTATTCGTTAGCTTAATCTAGCTTACTGTTTTTCCCTTCTTACTAATTTTATTTACTTTCGTAAGCCGATTGCATTAGTTTCCAAGGAAGATAATCAACGTGATAGGACTCAATAATCATTTGGCAATCTTGTCTTTAGGTATATTTTCTTTTCTACGTTTCCTACTTTGAAGCATTATCCAACTTTATTCTTTCTATTTGCAGAAAGCATTCTAGACCCTGCCATAATAGTCCTATCTGCTATATGGGGTTAGGACAGATGAACTAAGAAGAAGAAGTTCTTGACACCAAAGTAAACACATGGTTTGGGTAAAGGAATTGGCAATAATGATGCAAAAATCAACGGCCAGGCCTAGCAGTATCAGCCTCTTGCCTTTCAAATGAGACAAGTGTAGAGTATCAACTAGAAAAAGAAAAAAAAAACAATAAAGATGCAAAAGTTCATAAGTTTCTACCTTACGAACATCATAAACACACGGGAAATTGGGAGGGAATTAATTATATATCTATGAATAATAGTATTACCGAGAAATGGCATCTGCAAGAAATCAAGATAACATATAAAAGTTGATTTAGAATAGATCAACAATTAGAAGGTTAATATGCACGAACCTTAGACCACGGAGTCCCCACCAAAAGCAGTAAAATAATTTCTGTGGAAAATCTTTTGTTTCCACCACGCGGGACTGAAGAGCGTCGAGGAATATTCCAAAGTCAAAGTCAGTTGAATTTAATTCATTTTGTTCGAGAAGAGGGCAAGAATCGTTTAGAAACGAACCGCCTTTTTTATCCCCTACTCCACAGTACAGATACTCACTATATGATGATACGTTATTCTTATCACAAGCAATGCGCCAGCACCTATCTTGTCTTTCTATTGTGAGTAAGTACCAGAAGGCCCCAACTACCTGGTATATCAGACTATTAATTATCAAAGCAATACACACTATACATGAAAATTTTCTTAATGCATGGTTAACTTAATAAGGAACCTTTTTTTATTCCAAAATTTATACAGCCTGGTAATTCAAATGCTGTTTTTTAAAATAAATAAATAAATATATATATATATATATATATATATATTGAAAATAATAATAATAATTAGATTAGCATATCAGGATTCTCACAGAATCGATCATGTACCAAACATAAGAAGTTTGGTAACTTGTCGAAAGGGCGTAACTTTCCACGAGGAAGGAAAATGAATATATTTCCCATTTAAGCCTGATTTCAACTGTTACAGCGACAAAAACAAAATTTGTGGATATTTTTTAGGACCATTTCCAAAAACTGTCTCCTCTAGTTCAAAAATTGCATCCACTTCCATTAACTGTCAGGCTATTTCAATCATTTCCAATTAAAATAATACCAGGGAAGTCCATCAATATGTTTTTCACATTAAAGTGGAAAGTTTTTACAGAACAGTCCAAATTAACTCAGATTGACCAGCTAATAGTATAGAATGATATGCAAAAATACAGTACTTCAAGAACAAAATTTTGATTTAAGACAGCAAGAAAAAGGAATTAATTGTTTGTAAAGAAGCGCTGTAGTCATAATCTAGCTCACCACCAATACATAAACATCTGGACTGGTTTTTGTTTACCAAAGATGAAAAACTTGAATGTGGAGAATAATTACAGTTTTTTTTTTTTTTTGTTTACTTTTGTACTTCTATCAGGACCTTCACATGCAAGAGGGGTTTGCACTTAAGGGACACCTTGAAAGCTTCATTTTGACCATTCCATAATAGCTTAAACTTTGGGGCAAGTAATTTCCTGATTGAGATTTAACTCAAAAAGACTTAAAATTTCTAAAAACATATTACCCAAAGGTAAGATTGGATGGTGATTAGGGGTGGCAAATGGGTGGGTTGGGCCAGGGCTGGGTTGAAAATGAACGGGTTAAATATGAGTCAAGACTCATATTCAACCCGTTCAGAATGGGTTAAAAATGGGAGGGTCCAAAATGTATAAGGTCAACTCGTTATGACCTGTAGACCCATTAATTATTATTTTTTAACTAATTATTAAAAATTTTAATTTTTAAATTTTAAAAAAATTAATTAATTATTTTTTAAAATTTTTTATTTTTTAATTATTTTTATTGTTAAATTTTTTTTAAAAAAAATTCTTTTTTAATTTTAAATTTTTTTAATTATGTTTTTTATTTTTTCGGAAGGTTTTAAAATTTTATTTAATAACAAATAAAAAAATAATCTCAAACTCAGCAATATTTACCGACTCGTTTTAGAGAGAGAGAAGTGAAGGAAAGAGAAAAAATTTCTAGAGAGCGAAACTTAAAGAGAAGGAATTGATGAGGGAGAAATTTATAAAGGAGAGGACCGTGAGTGAGAAAATTTTAGAGAGAGAGAAATGAGTTGAGTGCAATATAGAATAGATATGTGTTATGTGTTTATTATGTGATGGGTGAAATATGGGTATCCATATTCAACCTATCATGACTCTCAAATTAAGTGATTAAAATTTACCCAACTCAATTTTGACCCATTTTAAATATGGTTCATTCAAAACCATTAAAAATCAGGCGGATATTGACGGGTTGATGGGTTGTTACCCATTTTGCCACCCCTAATGATGATTCTACAATTTGGAAGCACAATTGAACACGCGCACACACACATATAATGTATATATTGGGCAGCATCCACTTTGATAAATAATTTTTTTGTAGAATTCATCTTTTTATCAATAGACCTGTTGAATTATATAACTTACCCTTTTACCCAAAAAAAAGGAAAAAAAAAAAAAAAAAAAAAAAAAAAGGTAAATCTTAAATAAAAGATCAATGAAACTTACATGACTAGCTAGCATATAGAGAAAAAGGTTGAAAGCAGCCCCAGCCCATGCCGTTTCTGTAAATAAGCCAGAGGTTCTTGTCACTTCTTTATATAGTGGATAGATCCGAAAAAATCTTGGAACATATTGAGAGAGAATAACGATTTTCAACAGATCCTTTGTCCACAGTGAAACTGGGCCTTCTATGGTGGGGACAATAACTAAAACTACAACCTGAATAGATCAAACAGAGCACTATGAGATGCAACAGACATCAGTTCATGTAAACCATAATTTTGTATTCAATTGACAATGAAACTTGTGAGAAACAGGTAACACAACTTTTGCACCATTACAGTATGATACACTAACCAAAATTAATAGTTATAGAGATCAATTCAACACATTCAGAAAAAAGAAGAAGAGAGTGAGAGATCAATTCAACACAACTCAACAAAGTTGTTCCAACCATATAGGGGTCTGCTATCTGAATCTTGTTTTAGAACTCAAGTAAACAACAATTTATATATTCAAAAAATGGAACTTTTTATAACTTGAAAAACAAATTAAAAAATATATATATTCTGCATTTATTACCATATGATACATTAATCAAGCTCAATTGTTGTAGAGCTTAATTACTTATCAAAAAAAAAAAAAAAATGTTGTAGAGCTTAATTCAACTCAAGTCATCAAAACCTTGTCCCGACTTTGTAGGGGTGGCTACCTGAATCTTGTTTTAGAGCTCAAGTACCTAGAATCTTTAAAAAAATAAAAAATTTAATCATAACAAATAAATAAGATTTAAGATTATGTCGTATTGGAAAGAGGTTTTGTTCCTTTAGTTTGCATTCCTGTAAAAAAATAATAATAATAAAAATTAAAAAAAAAAAAAAAAAGGTAGGACCTAGACCATAGTTGTCAATAATGCATAAAGATCCTGCGCCATTGACAAGTCAGATTGACTAAGAAAAGGAGCAAACCTGTGGGAGTGGCAGAACTGATAAAACGTCAATAATGAAGTAGGAGGAAATGTATTTTTTTGCTATGGCATAAGGATCTTTATTTAATTCACCCCTTCCAAATACTCGAGAAGAAGGGTCAATGAACCCAGTTCGGAATTGAAAGAGAATATGGAGTATATAAAAGATGTCAGTGAATGAGCGAAGAACGCAAGCAGTGATCTGCAGTTTCTTGTCCAAATCGAGACACTTATCTTTTCCACGAATCACAGGGATGTAGAAGAACAACGGATCCAAGGACACTGCAAGCACACAAGCGAATACAAATATTTTATTCCACGTCTGAAGAAATGAACCCTGCGGGTTAAGAATACTCTTCCTATGACCCAATTCTTTTGTTGGCTGATCACTTGACGGATGAAAGCTTAATGAGGATTTCAAGCTTTTAATTGCTTCAGAACCCTTCTCAAATCCTCTCTGAATAACCCCCCTTACTGAGCTTATAATTGATCCAACTTTTCTCCGATATAATCCATCTTCAGTGGAAAACTGCTGCTCAGAACTAAAATTCTCAAACCTGAATAAAAAAATAAAATAAAATAAAATAAAAACTTATCAATATATCAAAAAGCAAAAAACAAAAAAGGTATTTAGTAAGTAAATGCATATGTGAAAAATCAATCAGAAATGGGAATATATAATAAATAGTAACATATGATACAACTTTTAAAACATGATTTTAATTCCAAGAGGTTGGCTCAAGTGGACTTGGCCTTGGTGCCTCGAGAAGGCCAAGTGACTTACTTTGGTAAGTAAATGCAAATGCGAAAAATCAATCAGAAATGGAAATATAGAATAAATAGCAACAAACAAGAATGCGGCAACCACAAACCGACACACAACTTTTAAAACGTGATTTTAACCCCAGGGGGTTAGCTCAAGTGGATAAGTCACTTGGCCTTGGTGCCTTAGGAAGCATCAGGGCCAAGGTTCGACTACTCTTAAGTGCAAACAATTTCTTGGAGGGGGGAGGTGTGTGAGTCCCAACTAGAAGAAGAAGAAGAAAAAAAAAGTCACTAGACAGTGTTAGCAATCAATAAATTTCATCAATTTTATACACGGTCTAGTTTACGTTCACAACACGAAGAAGAATGCAGTATGGAGATCTTATATGATTGGTTCTGTTTGTTTGCACTAACATGAGGCAGTCTCAGAAAACAGTTCTAGAACGTTGATTATGATAAATTTGTAGAAGTATCATAGTCATCAAAAACCATTACAATTTGGCCAAGGAGAAATATATAATCAATGCATTGGTGGAAATGGAGATTTAAATAACATAAATGATGAAGATGTGACTACCGAATGTTTGTCAATCTGCATAAAATGGACAATCATCATACTTTTTTGCAGATGGAATAATAGTTACTTAGATATACTCAAAATGCTAAAATTCATCACTGCCACCATCATCAAAGTACTTCAACAAATCATAGGGATAGAATACACAAATTCATTTCCACAATTCCATTGATTTTCAGGCCACATTTTATGTTAAGATTTTCATCTTTTAAGCTTCTACTTCATCCCTCATGGTCCTATAACTTGCATCAAAAAACTTTTCACCAGAGCTGGCTTGTTCTGGCAGGGAATTGTAACTTAAATCGATCCAATAAAGTCCTAGTACAACTATTCCAGTGCCTGTGCTCATCTAAGGTGTACCACGACATTAGCAACCACTGAATACCACTGTATCTAATGGTGACTATTTACTGATGTGTTCACCCTTCCCTGACCAAAACAACTTCTAATTAAACAATTAATTCATAACACAAAGATGCATAAATGAAATTCAGTGATGGAAACGAAATTTAAAAAATGTCATGGGTGTAGAAATGCAGACACAGAAAAACTAACCTCACAAACTTATCTCGCCTGAAATTCATATCTTCAGTCTATTTGTTGTACAGCACCCAAAACTAATAATCAACCTTAGCCCGCCGCTGGGATTAATTATACTTTACTTGCAGTGATAAAGTGCAATATTCAACACCCTGCAAAACACCAACTTCAAATTGGGAAGGTTTTCTTGGCACCATCAAATGCAGAGATGCAGCAGCGTGTGTGTATAATCAAATTGGCAACAGAACTATGAAAAAAAAAAATTCATTGCAGAGATGCAGCAGAGAATATATATTACATCTAATCAAATTGGCAGCAAAAGTTATAAGAAAAAAGATCATACACAGTCTAATAATAAAATACATAAATACAACATGTGTTAGGAAAAAGGCTTTTGTCCAGTTGAATATATATATATATATATATATATACATATAAATGAATCTATCTAACACACAAATATATAATCATATGCAAATAGAAACATATAAATATATGTATAGCGGAATGGTTTCAACTCGTGGCACGAACAAAACAAATGCTCTTCATTGACACTTACTAGCAACACATAAATTAGCACTACCTTTTAGTGGCATGGTCTTTGTATTTAGTGTTTCATTATTAGATCTTCATAATTAACCACTTTGAAAATCAAAACACTTGGTCATGACATAATTACCGACTAATAAATTTCACCCTTACTCTTTTGCAAGAAAAATTCCAAGATTCTTCTAACTTTTGTGTGCGTGTTTGTATGAGAGAGAGTGTGTGGAGGATGATATAAACAAATAAGTGATCATCTCTACAGCAGGTCAAGAAAAAGTGAGCGGAAACTAAGATCATTTTCAAACTTCAAACTTTACTTTAACGAACTAAAGATTACATCTGAAATTTTATGCATAAATCCAAATTAAAATTGAGAAAAGGTAACAACACAAAACGAAATTCCACATTCTGTTTGGTTCAAGAGAAAACAGACACGAAGAGAGAAATATATATATATATATATATTAGAAGGAACTAAAACACATGCCTGGGGCTATTTTGAAATAATCTCACCTCAACTATGCTTGAGCAGTTGTGCAAGGTTCATCCGAGGGAGAGGCCTTGCTTTCTCTGATATGCTTTCTTTTCCTTTTCTACCTTTTCTCAGCAACCAAACAGAGCATTGCGAGAAAATGGAAATAATGGAAGAAGTAAAAATGGAAAATTACATGAAAGAAATTGAGGAAAGTGAAAGGTGTCTCTGTTACGTGGTGTTGAAATGATGAAAGGAGTGTTGAATAGCTCTTCGTCAAGTAAAGGCAACTGCCATTGAGAAGTTTCGTGGAGACTGCTATGGCTGTTAATAATATGGAATGGGACTCAGTCTTTCTAGAGAGAGAAATAGGAGAGGGGGAAGACTTCGCGGGGGAAGACTTCGCGGGGGAAGAGTCAGCGATGCCGCCAAGAAAAAAAAAAAAACTCTCATACAATTTTTTATTATTATTTTTTAATACGATGAATTTAATATGCATTTTTTTTTTTTACAGTAAGATCAATTTAATATTAAAAAATATTTTCCATATAGGAAAATATTCCAGTTTTTTCAATAAGGATTTAATATTTTTAGATTATTTTGAATTTTTAATACAATCCGTTGACTAAATTTGTAAATTATTTTTAAAAAATATAGAAACGAGAAGTCCTGTGTTTTAATACAGTACTTGTTTGGTTGGTAAGATTATTTTTAATATTTCATACTCTACTTTCTTTCCTAATCGGTAGTAAAAAAATATGAATTAAATATCATGGTTGTTTGGATGATTTATTGTTTCTTTGTTAATTCCAACTTGTTTCTATCTTATTCTTATTTGTTTATTTCATTTTTAGGCGTATTCTAGACTTTCCTACTTGTTTCCCCTGTTCAATACAAAAATATCTTGGTAAAATATATATATGTAGAATAATAGCTTACTTATTAAAAATAATTAGATTATTCAATATCCTGTCAGAAACTATTATGGTAATATGTGCTTCTTTTTCTTTTTCTTTTTCTTTTTCTTTTTCTTTTATTATTATTATTTTTTTTTTGGGTAAGGTTGTGATAAGTGTTTTTATACATAAACTCAATAATTGAATATAATAAAAATTCAATCTCAATAAAATAAATAAAAACACATGTCAATGATTAAATGAGCAATCAGATTAAATTTTTCATTGTTTTAGCATGAGAAAAATGGACCTACCACGCATCAAAATTGGTGAACTAATACAATAATACTTGCCAAACTTGTATTTTAAAAAATAATTAAATAAATAAACAGTAATGTAGTAATACAAAACAGGTATTTGGCTGGAATAGCTTACACCATTATCAGAATATATATATATATAGAATTTCAATCACTCTCGTGTAATAAATACCAAGTATCGATTGTGATCCGAAAATGTAAACACGGAGTCAGGAGCATTAATTGCTGCCCTAATTTATTTAATTGTCATTTTCATCTTTATTTAAAAAGCAATTTATTTAATTGTCATTTTCATCCTTTTCTAATTTCATTTTACGTAGTTTTTAAGTAGAATGGAATTTTGCTACTTGCTTTAATTTTTAAATTGAGGCAACACCAACACCAACCCGTGAAGGAACAGAACAAATATCTTCGATTCTATAGCAAATGAGTTTTAGATTCAGAATCATATGATCGCCCGTTGAATTTTTTTTTTTTTAAATAAAAAAAGAAAAAAAAAGAAAAGAAAAAGTTTATAAATCTTAACTAAATTTTCTCCGATTCTAATGTTATGTTTAATGGGAAGGAAAGAAGAGATGTAAAGAAAAAATAGAAAGAAAAAGAATAAATGAATTTTCTTTGTTTTGCTCAGTAGAGATGAGAAATGAGAATAAGAAGGATGACCCATCCTTATTCCTTTACAAATTTTCATTCGTAAAAAAAATGGACGGAAGAAATAAGGGAAGACAAGTGAACTATATAAAAATTTTAAATTAAATATTATCTTAAATTATACAAGTTTTAAATTACACTAGTATCATCAATAAATTACAATATAATTAATATTATTGAATATAATAGTAAAAATAATTAAAATTAACATGAATTATATGTTTCTCTTCTCTTATATTCAACCGAACAAAAATATATATACGCAATCTCTTATCTCATCCATCTTTTCTTCTCTCCCTCTTGTTCAGAAATTTTTTCTTCCTTGCTGAATAGAGCATAAATATCAAACTGGTGGACTAATGCGCTCGTATTTGAAAATGACCGGTAATAAGTTTTGAAAATTCAATAGATCTTAGCAAGCACTTAAAAAACCAAAATAAATTTAGGATTTTCGTAGCCAGAGTGAAAAGTCAACAATTTGGTCAATCAACAATTTAAAAATGAGTCTATCTTAGAACAAGTAATCCGTAAAAGGGTTCGTTTTATATCATCCATGAAATATGATGTGTTATTTTAGTGTTTAATGTTCCAATCACATATCGTGTTACAAATAAAAGCTACTGTTTGACAACATCTTAAAGCTATTTTTGAACTAATTTGATTACAGAAAACTGGTAACCAGGTTCATTATGTTAGAGACATCACTGATGCAGTACATTTTTTTCTCCGAAACTTCCGTAAAAAAATATATATATATTAATAAATTTTTTCACAATGCATAACAGATCACCTAACCGCATGCTAACACACGCACCTAGCGGCCACTGTAAATTATTTGACCAATGAAGGTCAGTGGAGAGATTGTCTATTGATGAATTTCACTTTACAGAATTGGAAGAAAGTTGACAAACTTATTGTGTTCTAAGATTAGATGGCCCCAAAATTAACTTGATTCGTGTCTAGCATTACTCTTCTAATAACAGGAACTAAAATTATTCTTTTGAAAAAGAAAAAAAAAAAAAAAAAAAAACTCTCTCTTCTTGGCACCCCTCCTTTATTTATTTTTGGGGGTCAATACAAAAAAGACAAAGAAGCAAACAATTCAAGAAGCCATTTCGTGTCTAGCATTACTCTTCTAATAACAGGAGCTAAAATTATTCTTTTGAAAAAAAAAAAAAAAAAAAAAACCTCTTTTCTTGGCGCACCTCCTTTATTTATTTTTGTCCCCATCCATTTATTTTTGGCGTTCGATACAAAAAAGACAAAAGAAGAAAACAATTGAAGAAGCCATTTATGCACCGGTTGCAAAAGCAGATTGTATTGAGAAGACCCTAAACAAAAGGGCAAAGCCCATTTATGCAAGCCACAGCAGAAAAGCATAAAAATTCTATTAGTAACAATCAATTCTTAGTATTTTACCTTTAAAAAAAAAAAAAATCAATTCTTCGTACAGTAAATAAAGCGTGAACATTCTCCATATTATAGTACACAATTCGGATAATAAACACGTAGTCAAGCTAAATCCATTGAAGATTTTCATTGGATGCTCACTCCATAATTTGCCTTTCCATTTATTATTAACACAATTTTTCCTTTCACAAAAAAGACAAATTTGATTTGCAAATACACAATGATTTTGCAACAATTCCAAAATGAACCAAAAAAAAAAACAGAAAATTTCTTTTTTTTTTTTTTTGGAGGGGGAGGGAGCAAGTGAAAGATAAAAATATATAACAAGGTTGACGAGCTTTCCTAATAATTATGTTCAATATCCATCATATACTTCGGATAATGAAATACGAAACTAATATAACATTGCTTCCAACAGAAATGCAAAGAAAGATGCAACTACATGACTGCAACGCTCCATGGTCAAGCTTGTAATAGCTGGACCCTGAAATCCTAGTGAAGATAACTAATGTTTCACTTTCTTCTTTTACTTCTTATTGTACAACAACATAATCCTATCCTAAATAACTCAAAAGAAATGGATGCACCTCATCACCTTATTCTACGATTTTTCTTCATCCGATTGAGAGCATGGTGGCCCAGGGACAGAGTCAACAAAGAACTCCTCTACTGAAACGAAGTCAAACTGTAAGTGTAAGAACAATTGCACAGAAATTGGGGAGGTTTCTGATCCCTCATCGAGAAATTTACTACCAACATGAAAATTGAAGAAAAACAAGAGATATGCATAATAAACACATGACTAAATGGCACGAATACTCAAATAAAACCCGGGCCATTTTTAATTAGTTAGGGCTACCCCAAGACTTCATAAAGTGTTCCAAAACTAAGTCAACTCAGTCATGATTAATGCTGATCAACAAATTTGAGTCCAATGCATTATACAATATTCAGCTAAAATTGGACAATTAAATCTATCAAGCTACCATGAATACTGTGTTTGTATCAGCAAAATTTGATGAGATATAACCATGCTAACTGTCAAACCACATGTTACTTTCAATAGCAACTAAAGACCTTATAAGGACCCCAAAAAAACCTTTAAATGACCTACCAATTAACTATAATTTATGGGGAACTCATGCACATACATAAAATATAATACTAAAGCATTAGATAATAGAGGTCAGACCATTCTATATTTCATTTTGTGGTCAAGATTTCCCCATCTCTTTTAGACAATCTGATTGCTTTTAAAATAGAGAATTGTACAAGTTGAAATTTATCAATAACTGAGACATAATGGTTCATTCAAGATGCTTTCCCATATTTATCTGACCCCAACAGTGAAACTGCATTTCATTCCCATACAATGGCATACAATTTTTTCACATACCGCCAAAAGGCCATCTTAGATTTCCACAGTCAATTTCTTTGTATCACTTGACTAGCTAGTTCGTATATTTCTCAAGTGTAGACATCTTTCATTTTTCAGAGACATGGTTAATTTCTTTTAATCCTCTTCAACTACCTTAAAATACCCAACACAGGCAGTTGGGACAACAGGCTTTGCTGCTGTCGCCTGTCTCTACTACCTCTAAATGTTCCTTTTAAATGCAAGAATGGCATCTCCTGAAATGGAAAACTAGTCCTGCATTGCCCTCGTGATTTATTTTTTTACCCAAAAAAAATAGAAAAAGAAAAAGAAAACTATTGCAAAGACACTACTCTGCTTTACCTATATCCTCTTGCTCAGGTGAATCAAGTAAAATATCCGAATCAGAAGGCAAAAAGGGAGAACCAGGATAGTTTCCCAGGGCTCCTAGATCTGCAAAAAAATTCAAGACATCATGCACAACCAATAAAACATTAAAAATATAAATTAGCTAAGTTGCGTGAGAGAGAGAACTAAAATAGTTAAAAATAAATAAAGGCTATTCAAAAGCATCACTGCCATAAATACTAGAATGTTTTTAAATTATTTATTACCATGATATCCTTATCAGTGTGTCACTCAGAAGTCTCGAACAAATCCGCTAAGAGATAGTCAATTTGCACTTATATAAGTTTTTATAAGGGAATTTCAGAATAACTTTGTTACACTAGAATGAAGAGGAAGTACTGACAAGCAAATTGAATTTTTTAAAAAACAGACTTGCATTTTTTACAACTTACCCCAATTTTATTTTTGCAAAACTACCATCTGCTTTCAAATGAATTTTTTTCGTCTCAGTTTTGATATCATTAATCACTATTGATAAAATGTCCAGCAATTGGACAATGGAACAACCACAGACAACTATTTAAGGATTAAAATATTTACTTGAATTATTTTTTTCAAAAGGTATTTGCTTGAATTATTTTCCAGGAGAATTGTGAAGGTTTTCTTGGCTAATACTGTTCAAACACAAATGGGTGGACTGCAATCTTGCCACTTATGATTTAACAGAAAAAAAACAAAAAAAAAAAATTGCTAATTCATTACCAAATAACAGCAAATGTGCATCAGGGGGGCACGTGTGGTGAGAGAGTAAAGAATTGTTTAACAAAGATAGGGACCAAATTACCTCCCAAGTTAGACAAATCAGCCGTCAGATCTGAAAGGCTGAAATTCCAAGGAATCTGAGCCAAAGATCTGAGGGAGTCTCTAGAATTCCCGGCGCCATTATCGGGTGCAAGCTGCAAACCTACTGAACTTGCCACATCAGATGTAAATGCCGTATCAAGTGCTGACGTGTCTACTCCAATTCCAGATATTTCCGATGCAGTAAAGGGGAAATGGCCTGTTGATGCTACTGAAGTTGGACTCACTGCCATCTCTGACATAGATGACATGGCACTGTTTGGTGCAATAGCAGGTGCCACATCAGCAGCATTGCTGTCAATCACCATACTTCAGCAAGAACAAAGGCACCAACCATTAGCAGAATATCTAGTAAGCAAGTTCAAAGAATATAAAAGAGAACTAAAACCATTATTCATTAAGCTAACAAGTCTTTGATTATAACCTCTGTTACATGGACTCTTCAAAAGTAGTGAAGTACCCGTGTCGGATACATATCCTTCGGACATGGGTATGGGATATGTGTCCGACACTTTTGGTTAGACATATACTTAAAACAAATATCCAATCATTCAATTACATTATATTATTACTTTAAAAAGAGTTAAATGCCTATATTGAACATTATATTAGATCAAAACATTACTTTACTCTAGAAAATAAAATAAAATAATTACTAAAATGAATATTTAGCCGTGTCCGTGTGTCCTTCTGTTTGGAGATTTGACACGTCCGACACATGAATACAAACCCGTGTCCAACACCCATACCAGAGTCCATGTAACATAGATTATAACCAACAACACAAGCTATGTCATGATGAAATGCCAACATAAATTGTCTTCCATGATTAATGATGACATGATTTTCCTAAAGTTGTTATAGAAAAAATAATAATAATAATAATAAGTGTTATGGAAAAACATTAATCAAAAAGTCTTTTTCTCTTTTCTGTTGGCTACTTCTTTTGTATTCATGACTTAAAAAGCGTCATGGAAAGACATTAATCAGAAAGTTTTTTATTTTTCCTTTCCTGTTGGCTTTTCTTCTTTCGTATTCATGACAACAAGACATTAAAATATCATGGTGGGAAAGGTCAACATGTCTCATTAATTTTTTTACTGAGTTGTTAGGGAAAAGAAAAAGAAATTTTCTTCCTAGAAGTTCTATGGGAAAAAACTACAAATTTTTTTTTTTTTTTTGGTTATTTCATAAAGGGCAGTTTAACTAATATTTTCATCTGTTTCTATTACGCACTTGGAAGGGCTTATTTTTCCATTTGATTCTTGTTGAATGCCACAATGTCACGTAAATGACTGCCATCATGCAGATAAATCAGCGGAAATACGTATATGATTAAATATTAATTATCAACTGCAGTTTTACAGCATCAATATGCTAACATATGAAGAAACAGTGCCATAGATGGAAATACATAAACAAGCGGGCAGGTATGTGGCGAAGAAATGAAAAAGGGAAGAAATATACGAATCACAGTTTATTGTGTGTCAAATATTAAATGCAGAATCAAAGGAAAAAAAAGGGAAAATTGTATGCAGTGGACTTGGGGAACACAAATTACAAAAACATGGAAATAGGGAAAAAAAAACTGGCTTGCGGGCGGTAAAAAACTGTTTACATAATTTTCACAACCAAACTGCCAAACTACATTAGGGTGCGTTTAGTAATGTTTTTATTTTTTGTTTTTGCTGTCTTAAGAAAGTAGAAACATGATTTTGTTTTCTTGAGTGAAAATAAAAAACAAAAATGATGTTTATTAACACTTGTTGCCACAAATTTAAAAATATAAAACAATAATTGCGTTTAGTAAAACAACATATTTGTTACAAAATGTACAAAATATTCTTTAAATTTTTTATTTTTTATTTTATTCATTTCTATTTTATTTTTTCATGGCAAAAATTTTAGGAGTTAGTGATTAGAGGGGAGGGTAGATGACTTGAACACGAACTCTTGGAAACAAGGAGCAACCCAACCACTCAGGCACGACACTTGCTTCCATTAATATCAAAAAGCCATAAATCTAGAAAATCTAATTTACAATTATAAATCTTAAAAATACCCAATACATTATAAGTACAAAATTAGATATACCAAGACAAAAATATTCCCACCAATTATGTATATAAATACATGTATATGCATGATGTATACATTTATTATGTGATATATAATATATTTAGCATATGATAATTTATTATGAATAAAAAATATTAAATAATATATCTTATATGTAATAAAATATATATTGTGTTATAATATTGTAAATTAATTATAATTTAATATTTACATATAATATAATATAGATATGATATATAATAATATAAAATATCTAGTGCTTAATAATTTAATAACATTATATTTTATATCAAAAATTATTTTGTCACAAAAAATCATTTACACTATTATTTAATATATTATATATTAAAATATATTTTATCAAATAAAAAATAATATACAATATTTAATTTATTCTATTTTAAAAATATATATTTTTATTGACATTTAATATGCAACTTAGTATATAATATGAATTTTATTTGAAATGAATAGTTCCTGTTCACTAACATTAGTGAAAACGTTTCTCTGCTACAGTGCCGAAAACATAAGAAATATCATTTTGATATTTTATCTTTTCTTCACAAAAATTGAAAACGTTTTCTGTTATATAAAAACAAAAACATTTTATTGAACGCGATTTTTGTTTTCGTTTTGTCTTTTTAGAAGTTGACAACAGAAAACAAGAAACGTTTCTCATTATTAAACGCAGCCTTAGTGAGCTAAAGTGGTGCACTAACATGCAAAAACTGGTAGGTCACAAACTAAACTGGTACCAGTTTTTCCCCCTTATTTGTAATTTGAGGTCCCTAAGCCCACTGCCACGTAAATTTCCCAAATAAAATAAAATAAAATAAAATACAATAAAATAAAATAAAATTTTGATTAATACAGAAAGAATTCTCACTCATTCCCAGAATTCATCCGAATGGGATGGAAATTGCCTGGAGCAGGCACTCCATTAACCACATGGCAACTAGATATTCCGCAGCCCATGGAATCAAGATGAGGTTGACCTGTAGCTGGAACCGGAGGTTGCTGTAGGACGGGGTATCCCATGGGTAAGTTGTTAACTGCACTGCAAACAGGTGGCACTTAATAATGATGATAATAAATAATCAAAGAGCACTTAACAACACATACATTGAACCAAGATATTCCTATATTGGTTTATATAACTCTTATATTGTTCCTAAAGATCCAAGCAATCTACCAAATTAAAGAAAATATACGTAAAAGACAATTCTGAAAATTTTGAACACTGCCAACTGGCAGAGCATCCCTCACACCTCAACCAAAATCCGCCACCATGGGCAGCGATTATTGAAGGATAACTGTAAGGGAGACAAAAATGGATCAGCAAGGAGCACCTAAAAGCCCAGCTCAACATAAGCATAATATTAGCTTAGAAATTTCAGCAACTGGCCCACTGTGTAACTTTCTAGGTAAACTCCTAACAAAGTTTTGGGGGTGGAGTGGAGGAAGGAAAAGAGAATTTAGTGGTCAACGTTTATAACCCCAAAAATTAATGGAAATTTTATTTAATCTCCCCCCGCCCCCAAAATATATATATATATATGAGAAAAGTGCCAAAAACCCTCCTGAACTATTGCCATATCTGCAATAAACCCCCTGAACTATCGAAAATGCAAATAACCCCCTAAACTATACAATTTTGTTGCAGTTGACCCAATCCGGCGAACGGCCGGCCAAAATTTGATCGTCATCAGAGCGCGTGTTTCTAACTCGGCATGATATATCGCTACTACAAAACTCAGCAAACCTTACTAAAGAAGCTTAAAGCATCTCAACATCAGTCCAGGAATCATTTAAGCATGTAATGATGAATCTAAAACTCAGTAACTAGTTAATCAATCACGAGCTGTAAAAGTAGCTAGACATTACTGTGAGATACCTATCTCCTTAACAAAAAATATGGAGCTTTGTCAATTGTCCTGGTTCAAACAAGGTGCAACACAAGGCAGTAAGAAGAAAAATGCAAGGACAAACATGTGCACGCTAAGTGTCTAATTTTTTGCACCCGAGAAAGAAGAGGATGGTTGCATTAGGTGCACACCGCCGTGGAGAACTTGTCGGCGGACCTTCCCAAGCTCGTGAATTGGTTATTAGATCTTTGCACTCTCCACCGCTGTCGATCTCTCCTTCATGGTGGTACATAGAGGGCCTCTTGAATTTTGCCAATCAGTCTGAAAATTGGTGACTTATACATGCCAAACAGCTTTTGAATTTTGCCGACGCGGTGGTGTTTGGAAGCAAGCGTCCAAGTGGTTGTTAGGAGTGAAATTTGGTAGGCCTTGCTTTGAGAAATTGTTTTGCAATTCTCATGGAGAATAGTTCTGTCGAGTTTATTTCAGTGGGATCGTCAACGTTGAAGAGATTTTGGAAAATATGGTGAGTTTGGCCATCAAACATGGATCATGGCTTTACCAAATTTCCCCAAAAAATCATATTCAACCAAAAATAAATAAAAAATAAAAAATCCCCAAATCACGAACTCTGCAACTGATATGGTTTTTTGCTGCCGTCGAACCCAGAAATGGTGCCAACGAGGACAGAGGACAGTGGCACAAGGAGTTACTGGTAAGGCGATGAGGACGCGCTGGGTGTGGCACAAGGAGTTACAGGAGACCATCACCGTCTGCGCTGTCGACAACATGCACTGGGATGTCAGATCTGCTCTCGTCATCTGCCGCCGTGAAGAGGTCGGCTGTGAAGAGGTCGTCCGGTGAGGACTCGGCCGCGATGGTCCACTCCGCCGCTCGGGTCTCTGACGCCTTGTCTTCTGTTTTTCGTGGGACATGTTGGTGATCTGGAACGCCGACGAGGACGACGGCTGCTTGCCGTCGGTGTCGCGGGTCAACGACGACATGAATGAGGTGGCACCATAAATGGCCGGCGAGATCGATGTGCTCCCTCTCCTCTCTGTGTCTCTTTGTGATTTTGACTCCTTCCATAGAGATATAATGTGTGTGTGTGTGTATATATATATATACATATATTTATAATATATACACACACAGAAATAGAGAGAGGGAGATAGAAACGACGTAGTTTTGAATAAGGGTAAAATTATCTTTTACCTTTTTCGGTGGCCTGAGTGGGCAAATTGCAAAAAAATGAAAGTTCAGGGGGGGGTTTTTGTAGTTCAAGGGGGTTAGTTGCAAAACCCCCATAGTTCAGGGGTTTTTTTGCACTTTTCTCTCTCTCTCTCTATATATATATAATAAATTAAAACGTGAGCTCACTCACATTATCAAACGAGATTCAATGAAAAACTAAACTACAAATTTTCCGCAGATTAAAAATAGATTGACAAATAACTGCAAAAAGAAAATACAGATATGGACAATCAAGCACAAAGTTCAGCCACTAGGTAAAACAGGAGAATAAAGGGACAGAAAATAGCAACATGCTGACAAAAATAAGCAAACTAAAAACTCTTATTTTAAAGCAAATAAGCTTCCATTACTCAGTGTTGGTCCCGTCTAACAAGGTGCTAGGAGGGTAAGGTTTGGACACAGACTTAATTTTGGCATTTTATTTTCTATTTTCTTTTTCTTTTTTCTCTGGGGGGCAAGAAAGTGGCTGCACTCAGACTCAAACCTGTGCCCTCACACTTATCAACCCGAGCTTTTACCAAGTAAACAACTAAACTACATTTTTGTACCCATTAAAAGGCCCATAATAAAACTGAGTTCACTGCTGGTAATCCAGAAATCTATAGAAGGGTTAAAACCATCGAGATAATTTTTAGTTTCAATTATTTTTTAAAAGAGCAACTGGAAATGGACTTGTATCATTTCGTTAATAACAAAAATATATACAATTTTTCATGGTCTGGTTCAGATAATAAAATGTATTGTTTAATATGCACTGCCCCGGACAGCAATCTCTGTAGTAAAGCCAACAGTTGGTGATTTCTTAACAACTCAGGTATCTTCCAGATTAGCATCACCCACAAAATCCACAAGTATCACCTTCTGAAGGACCAGACACTGATACCAAAGACAGCGCTGATACTTAAAGTATACAGTCTGTATTGAGGTGATGGAAAAAATTACTAAGGATGCTAATTATTTTAGTCCTTGTGTTGAAGCAGTATTTTTGTTGGTTAAGATTTTTACTCCTACAAAACATGAAAGCCTCTCTTGAAAAATCTATTCCATTAAAACTGCAAATTAAACGTGTGATATATGCATCCCCGGACTAAGTAAGTTCCTATAAGAACAGTAAATGCACTACCTTTGACTTCAATTTGAACTATTGATTTATTTAACTGGAAATAACCAATTAGGCTTACAACAAAACCCGCCTTATCTTAGTTTTGGTTTCAGTTTATGCTAGGCAAAAAGGAGCACAGTAATGTTCTTAGCTCCTGAATATTCAGACAAGATAAAGGAAAAAGGAAAAAAAACAAAAATACGATTGAGATGGTTAAAACACTAATCCCCATGGAGTGGAAAGATGATAACATACAGAGAACAACTTTCAAGAAGAAGAGTCTGCTTGAAGGAAACTAAAAAACAAAATCCTTTTAAGACCCAACACCCATCTGAACTCCTACCACCCACCCCTCCACCAATCCCGATAAAAAAACCCAACTCCAAACACACACACACAAAACTTCTTGTTTCCATGGGGTTCGCTCCCCTTTTGAGCGCTTTTTATAAAATTCTTACTTATCAAAAAAAAACACACACACACACACACAAAAGAAAAAGTTTCTATTCTCGCTAATAACTTTTCATTCAGTAGTTCTACTTTTTCTATATAGAATGGTGGTTCAGTTAATTTAATGACTGTAGGATATGCAACGCATCCCCTCAGCACTTAACTCTCTAATAGAAACAATAGCTATATTCTGTGCCTTTATGACAATAATTTTCTGAAGTGAGAATTTACCTGGCATGGGATGAATTCCATTCTGTATGGGAGCCAAAGGAACCTTTGGAGGTACAGGATACTTCATGAGATGATACTGATGCTCAAGCAAATGATTGAATAAGATAATTTGTTTTTTCAATTTTAGCCTTATGTAGTAGGCCCTAAAAAAGTCGGCATTTTCTTCTTCCAACTTCTGCCATACTGAATCAACAAACAAAATGATTAGTTGAAAGGTACCGTGTAGGTGATTGCCTGGCTCATGACAGTTAAATGCCATAAATGTAGTCACAAAAATGCATAACTGCTCAGTGGTGGTTAAGAAAATTAGTCTAGTAAATCTCCTATCCTTCACAACACATGTCATTTTTTATCAAAAAGATGAAAATTCCTCAAACCAGTATAAATTTTTATGAGCAACCAATACAACACTAAAAAAAAATCTCATCATAAGACATAGTGAGGACTGGGGAGAATGACAAATGACTTCTCTAAAGGTTTGAAGGTGCCTACCCAAAGTTGTAAATCCAGGGTCTATCCTTGCACGATTCAATAGGGTTTTTACCACCTCATCTCTATTCATGTACAACTGTAGACACCGTTCTATCAAATTCTGGACCTAAAATAAACCAATTTAAATAATAATCAAGGCTGATTAAGAAACAGGTAAAACATGAAACTCCTTAAAGAAATCTATACAAGTAGGAAGAGAAAACTGTCTTACAAGTTCAATATCCTCACGCGAAACTTTCCTGTTATCGCTTGTAACAGTAATTGAACCTGAGCCCGTTGCAGAAGCCTCTGTTGCATTGTTCTGTTGGTCATTTTGAGATTCATGCGAGACGGGGGTTGACGATTGTATTTCAGGTGTGTTCTGTGGATCCTGTGAATTTTTAAAAATACTAATAATAAGAAAAAGAACAAAAAATGTTCACAACAAATTATAGAAAGTTGGACAGAGAAACACCATTCCTGGGGTTTGAAAAGCAAGCTCCCAAGCTAGCGAACCAAATTTGTTTTCAGTTTTTTTTTTTATAAGTAAATTTTTTAACAGCTATTAAGTTAAAAATGGATCATTTTTATTAAAAGAATAAAAAGTATCACGCACCCTTGAACCTTGCACCTCTCGGTTTGGGAGTGGCAGGAGATACAGCTCAAGCTACTGAATGGTTATACATTAAAAAAGTTTGCTACAGTTTTTGAACTTTTCTAGAACCACAACATGTATGCAATTATGTATATATATTATATATAAGATTGAACACCAAACGATAAAAGATGAAACCCTGAAGCATGATGAAATAACAGGAAAACAGATTCTGAAAGACAGAGAAGCTTTCTAAAAATTTAAGCATCAGAACCTGTGCGTTCTTCATTTCAACAAAATCCAAAATGACCGCATGCCTTCATTAAGCTCTTGTATGCCACATTAAAGCTAAGGTCGTCTTATTCTCCGAGGTCAAAAACTTTGCCACTAAATCTATAGATTTCAAATATATTGGTGCAGATTTCACCTGGAAAAGAGAAGAATGCCATAAAAAAAAAATAACCATACAGAAAATGAACCCCTCTAAGAGTGAAATAAGGATAAATTCCAAGTACTACCCATTCAATGAATATATTTTACAGGACTAAAGGAACAATATACTATCTTGTACCACTTTGACATCACAATACAGGCCCTATCCTTGGTGCAAGGCAGTCTCCTAATCTTCTAAAACTGAGTTATGAATATTGTGAGTATCCGTTATATCATTGGATCGCTCTGTGTTTCGTGTAAAATTTGTCAATTATGGACTATTTCGTTTATGATACCATGTGCTCCATATTAATATTTAAGAATAAATTCTTTGATAGTGGGCTTTGCCTTTTGTTTTTAATGGTAAACGGTAACGGGCTTCCCATAGTTGGTTTTTTAGTTAAGAGGGAGTGTGAGAACTGCCTCAAACCCACTTCAGCATGCGTGTAAATCGTGAATAATAAATGTGGAAAACATTTATGAGTTCAACAATTACATCTATTAGATAACAAAGGACACATACTTAACAAAAACCTCTATGTGACAGGAGCCATCATGAATGCAAACCACAACCACTTGCATTTGGATGATCATACCATTTGGCCATGGCGACACAGTCATATCATTTACTTATAGATATTTAATAGGTGGGTAAAAATAGTGAAATGGCATTTAAAAACTGCACAAAAAAACTGTGAATAGGTGGGTAAAAATAGTGAAATGGCATTTAAAGACTGCACAAAAAAACTGTGAATAGTGAGATGGTAAACCAAGCAAGTGTTTTTAATTTAAATAATTTGTTCTACCAGTGTGAATCAAATAGAATTTGTGGCTCAACTATGTCAACAGGTTCATTTAGGAAACAATAAAATAAGCTCTGCAGATTCTTCCTTTGGTGAGTTAGAACTTCTACTCCACTAACAAAAAAACAATGCATCTAAAAGACAATGCAATTAGTATAAGAGGTCATTTAGGAGCTCTATTAGTATGGTTGGAGCTAAAAAATCTAAGCATAATCATATGTCTTTGGCTGTCTCCATAAATCTTGATTCATCTGAACTGCAATATCCAGTTCTGTCTTTTCCTAAGGGTATAAAACTACAAATGCTTTGGAGACTTAATTATTGTACCAACAATACTTCATTGGGTCCTGGTAACAAGGTCCATGAAGGCACACCTTAAGCAGCATATAATGTTCCTTATTAACATTTAATGACATTATGGTATTGTTGATTCCCAATTAATAACAATCACGAATCATCACCTAAAACTGCACTCGGGGAATTCAATGCCCTATTGGCATATTGGATATACGAGATACAGAAATCACTTGGTTTCCAGGTTTAATGAAATTAAAAATATAAAATAAAATTTGTACATTTTTGTTTTATAATTCAAAATGTCAATGCATATGATCATGCATTAAGTATACAGTAGGGCCCCAGAGTACTTATTAGCATAAGCCTACTTTATATTGTATGGATGTAGTCATAATAAACACCAATTCACCACCGAAAACTTAAAGAATAAGTCTAATATCCAAAAGGATAATCATCAGAGCGCATTGTCGCAAATACATAAACAATATCATTCCCCTATTTATAGCATACAAATCTACGTGTCATCAGTTATTGAAAAGAAATAAATAAGACAATCATGAAATCAATATATGTTTCCAGAATCCATACAATATTTAAAATATTCCATGTATTTCAAAATATGGTTTACCAAGATCATTAATCATGCTGCGCAATCCATCTTAGCAAAGGCGTTCCTTTAAACAATGATGCAGGAAATTAAAAATAGAAAATCCTGCCTATCCATTTGGATCTTAGCGGACTCCATGCAGTCTGTCACCACCCAATTGGTTACTTGAGCTTGAATAGCCCTCATTTATCATAAAATGTGCTTCCACTCCATTCTACAGATTCAGCTAATCTCTTTGAAGTGAACAAATAGTTAAACTACCAATCCTAAAAATGCCTCAATAATCTACCAATTTTTCTACATTATAGAATCCAAGACGCTAAATATAGAAAAACTTAGGACCCCGTTCATAATTTTGAGTTGCAAGTTGCTTTCTTTTTAAGAAAATAATCAAAAGATGAATTATCACAATAACAAGTCTGACTATCAGGCAGAACACACTCTCATCAATGCTGATCATGTGAGATGCTAATAGGAACACCAACGATTATACATACTTTAGATGATTATTCAGACTAATTCCAGGGTGTAATTGGCTATTCAGACTAATTCCAGTGTGTAATTGGCATTATTAAAACTGAAAATTAAACTAAAAGAGTGTAGGATATTTCAAATATTCATAATTCACCTGACTAATAAATAACAAATAAAACTAAAAATAAATTAATTAATTAAAAAATTCAGCCCTCTAAGAAGCTCAACAGTAAAACATCAATCACTCCACGAAATAAACCAATCAATCAGCAACTTTACAGATTATCCACACTTTTCAGACTAAACTACAGCAAACATATATGTGAGCATGTATTTATATATGTATCTCGGTAAAAAAATTGAGTACCGTTTCAAAATCTACTCATTCTAGAAGCTTAATATAAATCTGAGCTCATACTCAAATCTAGACTGCAGAAATTATATTTGAATTTGAAGCAATACCTATATTATACATACATGTACACATATAACACATAAGCAAATGCGTCAAAACGAGATCTAGCGAATAACACTTACCTTATACAGGTTTCTGAAAAGTCCAGCAAAGCCAAGACTCACTTCGTATCAACGAATTTTGAAACCCCAACTACTGAGAGCTTCAGATTCAAGAAATTGCATATAAATAAAAGTAAAGCGTAAGAGAGAGACTGTAACTATGAGTTCAGAAACTGTTGAAAGTGTCCTCCATTGAAGCTAAGTCCCATTACGGGGTTTGGTGGATATTTTGCGAGGGGTTAGATGATATTTTCATAAATATATATATAGATAGAGGGGGAGGAGGAAGAGATTTGGAAATTACAGTAATGGAAGCTTCAAAAATGTGGAGTTCAGAGATGATTTTTTAGGGTTTTGTCTGAATGAGATGTGAGAAAAAATTCGAAAGAAATACGACTTTGAAGATGAAGTGGAATAGACGCTGAATAGAAGTGAGAGAAACAAAGGTGAAAAAAATCTCACCAAACAGACGGTTTTTTTTTGCCTTTATACGCTTTTATGCTTGCTTTATTTTTGTTTGAAGCGTACAAAAAGACTCCCCACTTCCGAAAAAAAATAAATAAATAAATATAATAATAATATAAAAAAAAAAAAAAAAAAAAAAAAAACAACCACAACACGCAAATAAATCACCCTGACTGTGTTTAACTACATAAAATTAGAGTTTTTGAATTGAAAAAAAAAAAAATTTGGTTCAATGTTTTTTATATTCTTTTTCAATTTGAACAAATCCAATTGTCATTTCACTAATAAAATATAATGCCTCCGAGTTTATTTTTTTCACTTCTTACCTAGACAAGAAACTCGACTCAAAAAATTATTTGAGGAGGGCAATAATGAAATTTTTAAATGATTTCAAATAGGCAATAGTAATATTTTTTTGGTATATAAGTAAAATTAAACAATTTAGTTGGGTATATAAGTAAAAAAATTTGGGGAGGGGGCATCGGTACGTAGGTCTGTGCTTGCTCATTTAAGCACCCATGTTATCTAACTTGACCCTTCAATTTCCGAGTTATTTCTAAAGTGGGCATCTAATCACTCTAGTGATAGTATATAATAAGTATATAAAAAGAATAAGGCTAAAAATGATTTCAAATGACTTAAAGATAAAAGGTAATCGTACACACAAATTTTGATTCCGAAAAACCTGGGAAGAAAAATAAATACCACAAATAATTATTTTATTAAATAATCAAGAAAAAAAAAATGAAATACAATCCTTTGTGGTCGATTCTACTATAATTATAATCTTCTTCTGATTAAATCTCCTTGAAAAAGTCGGTGCAAGGGCTGTAATTGTGCGATTTTCCCATAAATAAGAGATTTGTTTCCTTTCATCTTGAAATCAAATAAAGGATTTGTTTCCTTTTATATTGAAATCAATTCAATTTTGAATTTGAATTGATTTGAATTTAACGGCACTTTTCTTTAAAGGTGGGAACCTTTAGGATTTTGACACGTGTCCATTGATGGACCCGTATTTGTGGGATTTAATTAATCAAGAAATATTTGACTTATTGATCGATCCAACGGTGATTAGACCATCACAAATTTTAGGCATCTGCAGTGGTAGTGCGTCAAAATTTTTGAGGTGAACAACTAATATGGAACAAAGAGAGTATTAAATTAAAATACTGTAATGCCCTCTATCTTATTTTTACGAAGAAAATGATATAATGACCAAACCAAACAATCGAATAAAAAGTCGAACCTAATGTGGATATGCCACGTATTTCCTAAAAGCGCATATGTCCACGTTTCTCTCTCCTTTCTCCCCCTTCCTCCACGTTTCTCTCTCTCCTATCCCCCTTCCTCCATTCTTCTAGTTCTCGATTCTGCCTCTTTCCTCTCTCTATTTGTCTCTTTTTTTTCATAAAATTGAAGAGAAAAACAAAAATAAAATTCCATCTTGTATTGCCTCTTAAAATCAAGGGTTTAATCCATGAATGATATATAACTCTATCATTTGGGCCAAAACAGAACCGGTGATTATGAAGGCTTCACTTTCAACCAAATTAAAGATAGAACAATCTGTATGCTATAAAACGCTTTGCAATTCAAGTATAATTTGTTTTCTTATCTTTTAGATCACATATTTGCCAATAAAGTCTGCATAATTAAAAAAAGAAAAGAAAAAAAAAAAGGTTGCAACGGTAGTCTATCGCTTTTAAAACTTTGAGAAGATTCATCAGTTTCCCTTGATTTTCATTCTGTAAAAAGATTAATGTCTGTTGTGACAGTAACTCTTTGGAACCCAAGGTAGAGATGCCTATGAAGAGAATATTACGAGGACTTGAACAAAAAGGTGAGGATAAGGACTCGAAGAGAGAGGAGATAGATAGAAATGGCGAGGAAAAGAGAGAAACATTTAGGAAAAATTCTAATGTGGCCTAGCCACGTAAGATTCAGTCCTTCTTTCAATAGAAACATTCGGTTTCCTTATTACTACTCTTTTTACAAAGATGAATTTTCATTTACTATATATATATATATTTCCATTTCTCTTTTTTTCGTCTACATTGTCTTCCTTTTCCCATTATGCAAACAAACTAACCATTACCAAGAGCCCATTACTTTGAAATCCAAAAAGACGAAACAAAATAACTTAATAGCTTAAAATAAATACTTAAAACACTGGCAATATTTCATTTAAAGTAATATTTTTGAGAGAAATCATAGAGGTAAAGAGAGTAGATAGAATAAGAAGATGAAAAAAAACAAATTTTTTTGTAAGAGCAGACACCAAAGGAGAGAAACAAAGATAACAATTGTTTGTCTTCACGGTGAAGGGGGACTAAGGAGAGTTCCGATGGACTGTAATAATATTGGAGGATTTTTGGCGTACAACATCCTCGTCAAACTCCAATGCAGCATGCCATCAAACTCCAAATTTCATTTCGAAATTTCACCCCTTTCAATTTTCAAGCTTTGTTTGTTCCATTATCAATTTCAGAACAATATTGATGGTTTCGGAGTTGCAATTCTAAATTTCACCCCTTTCAATTTTCAACCATTAGTTAGGGATAGACTATTTCAGCATGGCAATTGACGCTTGAACGAGGCAATTGATGCTTGAACAACTGTCTAAGTGATCAAAATATAAATTCTCAGCCCCGGTGCCGGATTGACCTTTTGCAACAATAATGTTACAACTCTGTATCTTATGGCCTGATATAAATCTTTCCAATATTAATTTTGGGTTAGAGAGAGTTGGAGTGCAACTTGGGTTGAGTAATCCGAACCCAACCTGAGTCCAGTCTAATTTTTTACGAACTTGGGCAATCATTTTTACAATTAGAGTTGGGCTTGGGTTGAAAAATCTCAACCCGAATTTAATTAAGGTTGGACTTGGGTTCAAGTGCTAGCAACCCGGACCAGAATTCTAATATTATTTTCATATATATTTTTAATTTTAAATACATTATATATAATATTTAAACTCTGATTATTTTTTTTCTTTTCAACTTCTTTTGTTAAATCTTAACTTATTGCATGTTAACATTTAAGAGAATTAATTTTCTAAAAATTTGTTTGCAATTTATTAAAAATTTAAAAAAAGTCTTTAAATTTTTCTTATTTAAAAGTAATTTAATCTAAAACTAATTCAATATCACATTAAATTTTGAGTGTAAGAATTAACCCGAATTAACCCAAAATTTTTACCTGGAATCTAAGCTCGAGTTGCAAGCTCGAATTTAAAAGTAGAAGTGTGTGTTGGGTTTGAGTTGAGTAGTTGAGGTTGATGATAGGGTTAGAGTTGGGCTTGGGTTTAGTAATTATATGATGGGTTGGGTTCAAGTTATACCTCAGACCTGTCTAACCCGCCTGAGTTGCAGCCCTAAGAGAGAGTGTTTTATAGATAAGAAGACATATTAGTAATTTTGTTAAATTTGGAGTGCCAGAAAAAAAATATTGGAACCCCGATATCAACTCCAATGAAAAAATAATAATATAAGTATCTATTTTTTCTTGAATTTAAGAGGACATATCAGTAATTTATTTTAATTTAAGTTCTTGTCTCAATTTCAATTCTTATGCTTAATGATATCTTAAATTTAAATTATGTGCCAGTTGCATATTCCGCCAGTTATAGTCATCATATTCACAATAGCATCTGGCTACCTTCGATTGGTTTTTAATTTTGCCAACACGTGTTATATGATGGTTTCAAATACTAATCAAACAATACTATTGTAAATAAAATCACAATATCAAGACTTATTACACCATTTTATAATTGAACAAAATATTAGTTTGATAGGATGACCAGCTGTTTTGATTAGCATACAAGTGCCTCCAAGAGTTTTTTAGTTCTCTAATTTATTTTGAGAGATCAAATGGAGTATATCATTTTGTAGAAACTATTATTAATTTTGAAGTGGTAAAAGTTTAATAAAGTTTGAACATAACGCAATTGAAAAATAGGACCAACTTTCAATACTTAGACGAACCTTACTATTTAAATATCACTTGTCTCGTAGAATTGATAAGGATAGGAGGTCGTCTATGCAAATACCTGTTACAAAACAAATGTTCAACTAAATGTGCCATTATTCATTTTAAATAGGAAATTCAGTAATATTAAAGGGTACCCTACAAAGGGTGTGGCGTGTGGAAGCCAAAAACAAGCCCTGGCGATTCCACGCCGATCAATTGGCCTGCTATGCGGCTTGGGCTATAATGCGCTGTTGTACGGTATATGTGCAATGGTGCTCCAAATGAAATGACTCCCAAAAAAATGTCACGAGACGTGTGTGTGTGTGTTTTTTTTTTCCCCTCCCCCACGAGACATCTGTTCTCTCATGCAAAAGCCAACTGATAAAAGCTAGTATAAATAATAGGCTTTTGTGGTCAACAGGCTTTATTGCAGTCTTCAAAGTGAAAGGAAAATAGAAAAAATAAATTTCGTACAAACTGAACCAAATTACTTTACAGTTCTTCAAAGTGAAGGGAAAATAGAAAAAATAAATTTCGTACAAACTGAACCAAAGTACTTTACAGTTCAATTTTGGATCGGAGTCCGAATCCATTATTATTTTGAAAATGCCTGTCACAGGATTCTACTTCTTATGTTAATATGGATTAATAATAACTAAGATTGTGTCAAAAAAAATTTAAAAAATTAAATTTAAATCATTCAAATCTCTTCACGGGTCATCCAAAAAAGAAGTGAATTTCTCTCCGTAGCGGGTTCTCCCTCTCTTTAACTCACAATTATTTCTCTCTTCCCACCAAATCCCCATTGATGTCCACCGTCTTCCCAATTCTCAAACCCTAATATTAATCCTCTCTTTCTCTAACCAACTTCCACCACCTCCACTGCTTGCTACCTCCTCCATTCTCAAACCCTAATCTTTTAAATCCAATCTTTAGAGATGATTCAAGCCGCTACATTCATTGTCTACCATCTCTGTTGCAACTCCATTTTTAGAATGATTCAAGAGGCTGACCAATTAATAAATACGCATAACTCTATTGTAACAT